ATAGACAGGCAAGATCATAGGTTGTTGAAAGACATATAATGCCTAAATTTCAAAATCCCAACACTGTATATACACCTACAAACGTCATTGATGACATGCGTCGGGAATTCGGGGTAGAAATGAGTTATCTAAGGGCACGAAAGTCACGAGAATATGCTTTTGAACTTTTAAGAGGTTTTCTTGAGAATAGTTAAGCTAAATTGGGCTTATATTCTCATAATTTGCCTAGAACTAATCCTGGAACCGCATTGTCCTTAGAGATTGACAATGAGAACTGCTTTAAGTATTTTTTTTATGGCTCTCAGACTTTGCATTCGCGGATTTCGCTCTTCGATGCGGAAGGTAGTTGTCGTTGATGGAACATTTTTGACTGAAAAATATAAAGGTACCCTAATTGTTGCTACTTTCAAAATGCAAGTATTCAAATTTATCATCTTGCTTGGGGTATAGTTGATTCTGAGAATGATGCATCGTGGACTTGGTTTTTTATGAAGTTGAAAGAAGTGACGGGGGATAATGAAGATATTGTTGTTATATCTGATCGACATCCAAGTATTATCAATGGAGGTCGAACTGTCTATCAAAATGCCCATCATGGTCATTGCATATATCATATAAAAGGTAACTTAAGGACGGTAACTCGAAAAATTGAGATTTTCCTATTGTTTAAGAAAGCAGCATAGGCATATACTTTAGAAGAGTTTGGAAATTATATGAGCGAAATTGAGAGAATTGATATTAAAGCTTGGGATTATTTAGTCAAAATACCTTTCCATACTTGGGCCAAGTCACACTTTCAGGGAAACCGTTACAATATCATGACATCGAACAATGCAGAGTCATTGAATTCAGTGTTTAAGAAAGATCAACAGAATTCGATACTTGCGCTGATTGAGAGTATTCGAAAAAGACTGTAGAAATGGTTTTATGAGAGTCGTACAAATGTACAGAACTGTACTAGTACTCTAACGCCAATAATTGAAGGAAAATTGCGTAAGAATGTTGATAAAGCCAAGAAGTTTGTTGCCGAACCGATCGAACAGTTTACGTATGAAGTGACAAACGACACCATGAATTTTGTTGTTAACCAAGATGAAAAAACGTGTACTTGTAGACGGTTTCAATTAGAACATTTACCTTGTGAACATGCAGTAGCTGCGACGAATAAGAGTGGCTATTCAATTTACTTGTTCTGCTCTCTGTATTATAGTTAGCACTAATTCATCATACGAAATATTATAAATTAGCATTAAAGATATACATACATCATTTTCACGTGTATTAGGAGAGACTCTCTCCCTTTGAGTCTGTGGTAGATCTAGATCGTCATCTAGTAATGCATCATCAACATTTGGGTATCCTCCGTTCTCATAGAGATAAACATCCAAGATCGGATATTCTTTTCTAGATCCGTGAACAAATAATTTCACATATTGTTGTTCAGTCTCATCGGGAGAACCTGTCAATGAGCAATGGACTTGTAGCTGAATAATTGACAAAGAATCCTTTTAGCGATATTTGAGGTAACGTGCAAAAGTAATTACAATATAGAAGATATACTCACTTGTGGGGTCATCTAAGACTTCAGCAATATCATGAGAATTAGGAGTAAGTGTTGATTTCCAATGGCACATTCTCGACAGCTCGTTGACAGGTAACCTAGCACGATACATGTTTGCTATTTGTGGAATAGACTTGAACGACCACACCTGAAAGAAGATGTCTAAGTTGTTTATAAATGTTTAAAATCAAATAAAAATAATGCCTAAATTACAAGTTCTGACCATTTACCTGTATCGCTAGTGGAAACCCTCACAAAGAATATTTGGACTTTGGATCCTTCGACGCTCTTAGGAATGCATGTATTGTAAATTTAAAACTTTTTGTTCCCCATGGACATCCATTAAATAGCTCCAAATCATCAACTATATCCAAGGTGCGAAGATCTATAGATGTATTTTTATTTTTTTAGACCTCAACACTGTCTCATATATAAGAACTAAACCCAATTTATATTTATCATCCATGTCTTCTATCTCTTTTTCAAAAGCCTCATTTAATTTTTTAGGTGTGAACTTACTTGATGTTGGGAAGTATTTAGTTTTCAATCCACCATTTTCATTTATTTGGCTCTGATACTCCTCCTCATTAGCAGGGTTTAATCCTGTAACTAGCGTAAACTCGTACAAAGAAAAACAAGCAACTTTTTTCAATCCTAAACAAAACCGTAGTTCATCCTCATTCACAGAAACAACCTGTCGTAATAACAAGTTGTGAATTAGTTGGGTAGATATTTTCATATTCCTAATGTTGTATAATTTACCGAAGCATGAATTCAAGAACATTTCCTTATGAACATCATCTAATGCATCATAGACTTTCTCCACACTTGACATGTTAGAACATGTCGTGACCTTTGGATCACATCTATCACCGATGTTGTATATGTACTCCATCCTGTAAGTGGCATGAAAATATTAGTAATGATCACTTCAAATACTATTAGATAGAAATTACATAGGAAAGACATATATGTACTCCATCCTTCCTTGATACGTTGAAGATATATTGTTAACAATAAATAAATCAAACGCAAAGACAAGAAAGAAAAAATAAATAGAAACTAACCTAGAAGAGGCTATTGTCGAAAGACTGGATGTAAAGTCACTAGATGAAGGAGGATGGAAGGGATATAGTGTCGGTCTATCTTGTCAAGATTTAAATACAACTTATAAATAAATCAAATTTACTACTTCTAAGCATATTCAAGTATAATATGAATTCTTAAACAAACCCAAAGGAAAAGGAGCACGTAGATAATTTTCAGCTACATTTTATTCATGGTACAGATTTCAGGAAAGTTGTGATAGAAGTGGCTGTGATTGTGCAATAGAAGGTGTTGAAGAAAGAAATAAACAAAAGTCTTTTGGGATTTTCTCTGATTTATTCAATATGAAAGGTAAACTGGGAATTACAAATGAAAAGTGATAATCCAACACTTCGAGAAGCTGGGAAATCTCCACTACAGAAATCAGTAAATTCTTCGATACCTCTACCATTCTTCCACACCCTTACATATAACCCTTCCCGTAACTAATCTAACTAACTTGCTAATAAATTCAAAACAACTCATTATAACAGAATAAGTGGACCCCAATTTAATTTCTGGAAGATTCTATGCTACGTTTGACATTTTGGGTTACTCCTTGGATCAATTGTTTCTCTCCTTGCGTCTAGTGTAGGTGAATATGATTGGGGGCTTATCAAGTTGTTCACGTTAAAATTATCAAAGTTACTTATCAGAAGAACATTCACCGACAAACCAGAAGAATGAGCAAGTTAAACATCAGATTAATTCATATGAAACATGTCAAGGTATAGTGCGAGAAAGGTAAACAAAGTCACAAAGTTGTTTCCAAAAGTAAACACGTAAAAATCAAATCTTTAAGCTAGAGAAGTGATCACCAATTCTTAAATACTCAGGAGGAGTGTAGGCAAGATTTGTGCTATAACTTTTCCCAAAGTCCACCAACCAGGCAAACACGAAAATGATGCCAGTCATGTACCATGAAAGTCATTCGTCAATCAGGAAAAGAGAAAATCAAATATGTGATACTATAATCAGGAATAATCAGGAGCTCCATTAGCACAAATTCAAGAAAAATGGATCAGCATAATATTACATACAGTGAAATAGATGTTTGGCAAGGGTGTCATAGGGCATATACTCTGCAACCAACAACCAGCAAGATGTCATCCAATTCCAAATCAAGCACAAAACCCACTTTGTTTTTATATTAAAATTGTATTTTGGGTAGCTATTTTTTTCTATTTCTTTCAATCCCACAAATTTCTTAAAGGTGCAAATAAAAATCACATTAATATGAAGAAACAATTCAAATTCAATTACAGTAATACATCCAAAATGGGTAAATTTTTAGCTATTATAGATTACCATTAAAATCTAAACTTCAAACCGTAGGAGAAAAGAAACATAGGGCTGTGGTAAACATACCTGCTTTTCATGGCAGAGAGAAGGTTGGAGGAGAGAACGGAGATATTGTAAGTGAGCACTTCATTTCCGACTGGCAGCGATGTTGGCTAGCTGAAAATTGTGACTGTGACTCCCAGTTATGACTCGAAATTGGATTTTTGATTTGAAAATTGTGATTGTGACTCCCTATTGTAACTCACAGTTGGTCGTGGCGGTGGTTGTGGTGGTCATGACAATAGTCGTGGCTGTTTGGTTGATTTGTAAGTCACAATTAAATACATGACCTGAAAATTGTGATTGTTACTCACAATTGCATACGTGACCTAAAAATTGTGATTGTGAATCGTAAGTGTTGGTGGTGGTCACAAATTATTTGGTTGACTGTGATCATTAAATTGGTTAATCTGTGACCAATGAAAAAAATAAATTGTAATCGAGAAATAAGGTGTGATCTAATAAATTGTTAATCTGTGATCAATAATTTGATAATTTGTGATTGTATAATAAATTGTAATTTGTAATATTTGTCATTTGTGACCAACAAATAAATCATGATTTAGATTTTTCGATTTGTGACCGATGAACAAACCTAACCTATAAATTATTTGAATTGTGATCGTAAGTAAAATAATTTGTGACATAAAATTTCTAATTCGTGACCAAAAAATAATTAGCGACAAATTAAATTGTTACTTTGTGACCAAATTATATAAATCTATAACTTAAATATATTTAATTTCTAAAATAATTAATTAATTAATTAATTTAATTATAAATAATTTTTTATAAAAAACTGATTTTTGAAATATGAAACTTGTTTTTTTTTTTTTTTTTTGAAATGTGCCATAATTAATATCTTACTTATGAAATTTTCCCTTGATTTTATATACACTTGGGAATTCAATCCCTCGTCAACTTTCCAGGAAGAAGTCTCTGATAATCCATTGAGATTGTGTTGGTATTTTGCTTTAAAAAATAAATAAATAAATAAAAAGACAAGCAGTACATAATTCTAACCAATACCGCCGTTGCAATGCATTCAAGAGCAAACATGAGTTTCACCATCTGCAATGCCAGTACCACATTTGTATACCTAAATAATTCTAACCAATACGGACCAGTGCTTGAACTGCAATCATAATAATGTAGAGTATAATTACATTTCAGGAAGTGATGAAAGGGTTGGAGAGTAGCCTGGTTTATTGTGCAAAAACTACAGCGATGAACTGCTCCAATGTTATGATGCCACTCTTTTTTAAGCTTAAGCGACTGGTTTTTTCCAGAGTAACCCTTCCAACAAAGCCATACCATGTAAATGCTCTGTTGACTTTCAGAAGATAATTGGGATTATCTTTAGCATTTGACGTGCTGCCAGCGTTTGCCTCTCGTCACGTTCTCCATCCAATCAGATCATCTCACTGATCAGATCATTCGGAATCATCTTCATAACTTATGTAATCGACCGATATAATTTATTGCGCACAAAACAAGTTTCTCAATTCAAAGACTAACCCATCAAACACTGCAATCTGTGTTCCTCAACCATTGTAGTGGAGATTCCGATTTTGGGAGCCTTGACCCTGCTGAGATTGCTGCATGCTTACTGGCTGTGTATTGTAGTGGTTGAAAGGCTGGGAGAAAAGGGGATTGAGCAAACTCTGTAAACAAGCAAAAATATCGCTAACAAATTCCAAAATATACATAAGAACATGAGGTGAAAAAAAAAGGAAGAAATTTTCCAGCTTCAGACAAAGTAAAGATCCAGAAATACCCGTGTGATTTTATAAATTGAATATGGTGAACGTAAGTTGATATATAATTAATGTTTTGAGCCAATTTCATTATAATTATTATAAAGAGAAACCTGAGATTGAAGTGGATTGGCATTGGACACACCAAAGTGGTTCTGAGAAGCATCATCCTGAGACGGATCATTGTATGCGCCCTGTGTAAATAGCCCTTGTGAACCATGGGCTGCCATATACTCCTGTGACATCAGAAAACTGAAATCACAGTCCGAAAGACCAAAAGCAACAGGGAAGAACAAGAGTGAATCCACAATTTAACAGAATTGAAGAAGGAACATAATCAGACATCAAAACAGGAAAATTTCAAAAGTAATTGCATAAAAATTCTTCTGCATTTGACAAATCTATCATCAGTGTAAGGACCCAAATTACACAATGATTTCTCCAAACAAAAAGCATTAATAAAAAATTAAAGCAGTAAAATATTATTTTCTCCATGTTTCATGTTAGAGGATTCCTGCAGAAATCCTCTCCTTCTCGGGGCTCAGATTCGTAGGACCTGAGGATGACGTCCCAGATTGGCCCACGGTCAAAGTGCGCAGCTAAATGGTAGGAAAAAGACAAACGAAAATATACATTACCAACCTGAGACATGAAATCATTTCCTGTGGCAAAATGAGAGTATCCAGATTGAGAATTCGGGTTCAAGAAGCTTCCGAGGAATCCACCTTGTGTTCCCTGAGCAACATAATCAACAGTATATCCACTTTGAGAAGCCTACACAGCAACAAAGATCAATAGGGAAATGAACGTCAGCTGATCACCAAGGAACTCAATATGATGGTGACGAGAGTGATCATATTTCAAATTCTGGCACTGAGCATTAATGAGATCTTGATGAGGACAGACAAGGCATAAATGGAAAGAAGTGTACCTGGGTGGAGTAGTTGACAACATTATACGGAACATGTCCCTGACCATCAAAATCATCGCCCAAGAAATCCTGCACAATTATCCGGTGGTAAATATGCGGGTTGGG